CTTCGAGTCCTCGAAGTTTTCCCAGCCGCAACCTAATTTGAGGTCGCTCGACTTCACATACTCGCAGAAAGGCATTTAATGAACGTTCAACAGGACCGTTTCAGTGTCATTATGGAACGTCCGAATTGAAAATTCAAACCACCTACGATATAATGTACTCCATCCAGATAGTCCCAGATCATGTCACAGACAGATTCTGGTACATTGAGTCTGCATTTTATACGACTCCACAATGCTTCCACGTGATTTGTGTGCACTCCTGTGGCATCCATCACGGCTTACCTTGAACTGCCGAACGTGCATTCGGTGACCGACACATGTTCGTACCTTCTTTAATAAACCACGATCTTTAAACTAACGCACACAAGCGTCATCTTGGAATTCCGACATAAGTCGACATATATTGGAACTATTTGGCATGGCTCGAACGTTTTTAAGGTCAGAAATAAAAAGATGATTGGAAACTACCCTACTAAAGTAATCAAAATAAACAAATAAAATGTAGAAACTGTTATTTAAAAATAGGAAAACATTTACCATATCAATTACAATGAAAAATGGCCAAAATAAAGGGGTTGAAAGTAGTAACGTTATCAGCCTTGGTTGAGGAGTCCCACTGGTAACGTGAACCCTCAATTCCAATGTACGCCTCTTAGTGAGTTCACACGGCTGCTTGGTTCCAAACACATTTGCATCACTGCTTACCACCCCGCAGCAAACGGCTTAGTGGAACGTTTTCACCGACCACCCAAAGCCTCACTTTGCGCTCACGAAGATCATCGATGAACCGAAAGTCTTTCACCCACTCTCTTGAGCATTCATTCTGTCACCAAGGAAGACCTCGGATGTACGGCGGCAGATTTGGTTTACGGAACTACTATTCGTATATCAGGGGATTTGCTTCAAATACCACCATCAACCCCCGTTGGTAGCACAACGTAGCGTATCGATCCGCTGCAAAGAGCTTCTTATGAACTAAATTTGTTAACAAACAGCAATTTACCTTTAAAATATATGCATAGTATTTTTCTTGGTTTGAAGACTCATTTTCATTCTTAAATCAATAAAGTGCTGTTATTTTTGGGGTCAACCCTCCCTTATTTTTGTTTTAATTTAGAGTGAGAAATGACAGTTTAAGTGACTCTTATCTTTTGTCGGTTTGTCGTTAACTGAAGCGGTGCATAAGTTCTTATTTCTTCACGTCCGTCGGAGAGTAAGTAAATTTTTCTGATACATTATTTCTTTTGGTTCCATTATCAAATTTGTTCGAGAATGATTTCAGTAATCATATAAAAAACGCAATTTCGTTCAACACTTGAAGACCTGGAGCTTCTTGAAATGTCATCCATATATCGCTGGACATTTAACATAACAATGGATGCAAAACGTTAAGTGTTTTGTTTGTGGCGAATCAGGCCTCTGTGAACACAGGGTAAGGTGTCCAAGATCAATAGGTAAATGAATTGTGAAACATGTATTTCATTCGCAATGTTTTTTTATAAGTACAGTCCATTTCTTTCAAGGTTAATTAAACATGTGTAAGGAAGCTCCGGCTCCGCGAATACATGGTCTTCTATAATACGCCCAATTATCCGCATGAAAACCTCTGATGACAGTAGAAGCTCGTTTGAAGGTACAATCTAATTAGGATTAACTCCATGTCATCACAAGTGGACTGGAAAAGTGCCTGATGAGTTGCACACATGTAGCCACATTTCCATTCGTTGCGACGCTACATATCCACCACCCCAAGCACCATACAGTGATTTCTCGTTCTATTTTTTTCTTTTGGATCGCATGATTCGGTAAACATTGACCGTTCGAAACCCGAGTCTTCATTCGATTCATCCATCGCACACGCCCCACACATTGGTCCTTCACCCGTTATCCCCGATACTTGAACTACACACAGTTCGCCCACTAGCCCACCATTCTACACACGCATTTACACCAACATTCCACGTACTAGTAGAAAGGTGAGCTTTCCTGTTTGTTTTCTTTAACCATTCGCTTTTACTCTTGCCTTTAACGGGTATTCAGTTTGCAAAACACTCTAGAATGGGGGGGGGGTACAGCGGTGCCTTACTTTTCTATCTACTTCTATGACATTATTGTATAGCCTGTTTTATTCGGCACAAAAACAAACAACGCAATACAAACCTTTAGAGTATCAACGCTGGATCTCCCTATTCGATTATTCAGGGGCATCAAGCACTCTTGATGGTCTTGAGTGTGAGTTTCACTCCTTGGGAGATCGTTAATTACCCACGAGGTAATGCATTCAAATGCGATGGAAACGTTTGTGATAACCGACAAACAGCATTGAACAGCTGTTTCTTCCTGTTTGAGACTCGTCAACAGTGCGTACTTTTTGTGCCCGTCAGAACTGGAACCGCGAACGTTCGGGTTGGGACTTCAAACCCTTGCCCCTGAACTGCCCGGTCGATGGACATCACTGTGGGGAATTAACGATCTCCCAAGGAATGAAACCCAAACCTAAGACCATCAAGAGTGGTGGGTGATTCTGAATAATCGAAGCTTGCTACTCTAAATTAATTGAGCCATTCACACAAGATGATGACCGTCGACCGTGGAGCTCAGTGGTAACGGTTTGAATTCCCGACCCGAATGTTCACGGTTCGAGTCTTCACAGGGACACAGAAAGTGCGCACTACTGACGAGTCCCAAACAGGACCATACAAACCCTGTTCGCGACTTCGCACGTGTTCTCTAAGTGTTGCTGAAGCATTATCATCAAGCGGTCCGTCAACTGTAGCAGCCATCCCGACCGCGCATTATCAAATAGAATCACAATTCCGAGGAACCGGATCCATCAATCAATCGGACAATCTTTCTGAGTCCGTTCCATGTACCTTTAATTTTATTATTATTCGCATATGTAGTATCTTTTCAACTACAGGTCAATCAGAAGTCGTGAGGTACAGTCAGAAGCTGCATGCCGTCAAGAATACCGGCGGACACCTGGATAATCAATAAACTTTCTTTGTACATGCTATTTAATCCCAGTGATTTCTTTCAATAAACGGACTGCTAGTTCTGCAACCTTTTCTTGCGTATGGTGTTATGTGAGATACCAGCGTGCAAGTGCGTTTCAGTGTTTCCGTTGAGTCCGTGATCTGTGTCCACGTCAACTACTACAGACCGCCACCCATTGTTTGTAACATCTTCCCAACGTCTTTCCTTTTCTCTTCATATATCCATTCTCTGCGATCCTTTTCTATCTCCCCTCCCTTGGGATATTAGGCTTCTCTCTCTCACTTCACTCCCTTAGAAACACCACTCACCCTATTGTTCTAACCGTTTGGTCTCAATGGATGGTATAACTATTCCATGGGTCTGCAATCTGCAAGGCCATTCCTGACAAAACCCCTCGGACAGGAATCCTTCGAACAAAGGGTCCTCCCTGGCCCTTGTGCACTGTTAGTTTAAATGAAGACAAGCTTTTTATTCCTGTTGTCGTAGCACCAGGGGATCCACGGAGCCCATCAGTGACCAACTTGGTGTTCTGTGAACCGACCTGACCTGATCACGTGTATCTCAAAGAATTGGAAGCCTTTCATCACATAGTTGCATTGCCTAGGAATATTTAGAGCTCGCCGACACAATAAACTGGACAGCCTGGTAATCTGCCAGTAAGGTCGGTCCTAAAATTAGCTATGGATCTCATAGCTTTTGAAGAAATTAATTGTAATGCAGACAGAAATCACGGTGATAACGAGGTCCATTATTGTCTTCTGAGAGACTGTAAACAGCGAATTCGTGGGGGCGTCCCAATCTAGATAACGATAAGAAGTAAAGGAAATCAAGTAATCATTTTTGTATAGCCCAAAGGATAAATCAATTGGTTCATGTTACAAAGGATAGGAGGGCACAAGCTGCCTCAAAGCGAGGAAACACGTTTGCGCATCACCGTCAGTACATCATCCACATCGTGCTGAAAGACGTGCAAACCACGCCCAGAGAGCACCACGATTGCATCCAGTCCGTCCCCGACAAGATCCAACGGCGGGGAGATGGAGTGTACCGGTCCGATCAATGACTTTTGTGCAATCAGTCTGCGCAAGGCATAACAAAAGAATGGAAGGATGGAAGATGAACCAGGTGCTTGGATAGAGAAGCAATATTGTCAATTTGATCTGGCAAGCGGCTGGGAGTGAATTTATGTCACATCTTTCTCCGAATAAGTGTCTCTTGGGTCGATAAACAGTGCTATTAGGATAGAGCTGCGTGTAATCGGGCGCGTCTCCAGACAGGAGTAGTCAGGGCACCAGTAGATGTGAGTAGTGCAAGCTCAGGTTTTCCCTTAAAAAGACGGCGTAGTGAGCAACAAACCCGCGCGTGAACGAGACCGGTTTAAGATCTGGTCGACAAATTTTTGAACAAAGCCACTCCTTTCCTAGACCCACCATTTCTATCTTCTTCGATTTGAAAGCGGCTTTCGACTCAGCCGACCGTTCCAAACTCTAGCCTCATTCTAAAGGGCGTTCCCGAGATTATTTCAATATTACAATCTCTCTGCAATAACAGACGAAGCCGAGCCCGAGCTTATGGCACTTTTTCGCCCGAGTTCACCAAGGAAAGTGGTGTTCGATCGGGTTGCCCTCTCTCTCTCTCTCTCGGTTTTTATTCAACTGTTATGGATTTGATTATGGAAACAGTTCTGTTCATATGCGAGTGCAAAGAGATCGATTATGTCTGTTTGATCTGGAGTATGTCACTAAAGGAAGATCCAGATAAGCTGCAAGCTTTTCTGGATAGTCTGAGTCCCAGCGTAGCCATGTTCGGTATGCATTTTTGTGCAAAATGTGTCGGATCGGTGAATCACTGGCAATTTAACTACGGGGGTCGGCTAAAAGCCGTTATTGGAAACCAACCAAGAACAGCCAGCCGTATGAAACACAAATACAAATAGAGAAACGTTCTTGCTTTTGGAAATGATTACCGACATCGAAGTGTATTAGGTACCTTGGAAGTTTGACCCGGTCCAGTGTAAGAGCTAGACACCGACCCCCATGGATCGCGGTTTTCCAACACCTCCCCGTTCCCTTGGTTTGGCTAGCCGAGGGCTCGCTTGATAACCCCACAAGAAAATTCGCCTGCCTTGGGCTGGATAATCTGGCAGTATTCCGCCCACAAGCAAATCATGAATTTGCTTTATTTTATAAAGATTTTGTACCGTGATTGGTTTGGAGGACAGCCCGAACGGAAATGTGTGTGAAATACAAGAAATACGTAAAATGTTGCTGCAAGATCCGGTTGGTTCAGCATCCAACCTCACTGGGGAAGTAACAGACCAAGTGAACAAGTTTTGTTATTTGGGCACCTATGTCTCACCCGACTGAAGTGTCAGCCCACATACACAAGGCTCCATCGGCACTTGCCAACTTGGGACATCTGTGACGTCGTCGCGATATCCGGCCGTCTGTGGAGGTTCGAGTAGGTGCTGCACCAGTTCGGCCAGTTTTGCTATACAGCGCAGAAACTTGGCTATTAGGAAAATAGGATGAAGGTAGACTCGGTTTTCGTGCACTGCTGTCTACATCGCATTGCGCGAGTCCGGTAGGGAAACCGGATGAGCAATGCAGAGGTTAGGTATAGAGTTTTGGATAACCACCGTCGTCCACTGGAACCAGTGTTTGACCTCGATAGAACACGTTGGTGGTGATGTGTTACTGTAATAATCGAATAGGAACCGGAATTGAACAGCGCGAACTAGAACTCGGACTGAAAACC